GGGGCTTTTTCCCAGATTTTTATTTTATTTATTGTGTATGTTTGTGTTTATGATGCAAACATAAGTGAAGTCACAGGCATGGAGTCTTCTCACTGGCATGGAGATGTTTTATAAATTAGTTCTTGGGTTTCTCTTCAGATCTTACACATATTTTTAATTGTAAAAATAATTTTAAAATTCATTACTTACATTTAAATTATTTTTCTACACTATAAATATCTGGCCCAAAATCCAGTGTTCCCCATCACTACTGTTTTGATTTGGTATGATAATAAACCTAACAGGTCTTTAGAGGCTAAGTTTAATTTAGTGAATACATTGATTGCAGTATTAGGAGTAAAAAATTTTGATTGTAGCATTCCAAGTCACAATTTATATGGACCTTCCTTTCTGTAAAAGGTGGCAAGCTGAATTCCAAAGAGTCCCTGACAGCTCTGACAATCTAGATAACAGAAACGAGCTATTCATCTGTGACGTGCGTGCCTAGAAATGTGTTATAAACTAAAAACAATAGATTCAAATTTGGTATTAAAACTGCTTGAGATATAGCACAACCCATTATCTTGTACACTGATTTTGTTTTGAAGCCAGTGATCTTAAGGACTGAGCCATCCCTCCAGCCCCTATTCTGTCCGAGATAAAAGAGAACTAATGTAATGCAATTTGATTTAAAAAGAAAAAAAACCTCAAAATTATCATTTTACATAAAACTTTATTACTGAGGTAGAAATTAAGAAGAGGGTCAGGGAGAGGGAGGAGGGTGGGGGCAGACCAGAGAGGACAGGCTTTCCTAATAGCCTGAGAGACCAGATTTCGTTTCAATTCACTAGAATGGGACAGAGCTAAACAGACAATACTCAGAAAAACCACAACTTAGGGGCAACAGATCAGCAGGAACTCCATAGTCTTCTGCTGACTCAGCAGGCCCCCAAAGCCCCTTTGCTGGCTCAGCAGATGCCACCCCCCAGGGCCCACCAGTCTTCTGCTAGCTAAAGATAGCTTTCCCTAACCTGCCACCAGAAAGTCCCTAACCACTATACCTCCCACCAATCGGCACCCAGACTAATCTTTCCTTTTTTGTTTATGAGACAGGGTCTGATTCTATAACCTGACTCAGTCCAAAACTTTTATGATAATGCTGGGATTACATACATGTACCACCATACCATCGTCAAGCAATTTTAAACTGTAGATCTTATATAAGAAGTTGGGGCTGATCCAAGCATGGTGTCAAATGTCTTTAATGCCATGGTCAGTCTGGTTTAAACAGCAAGTCCCAGGTGAGTCAGGGTTACAGAGTAAGGCCCTGTCTCTAATACAATGTAATACTAAATTGTATTGTGGCAAAAGAATGATATACTAGGCCATCCCAATCACGAAGCCTGGCTTGTGCATAAAAAACTGATAAGCATAGGGCTGAAGCAGATGTGTTACACTAACCAAAACTAAAAGAGAAAAAAGGAAAGTACCAATTAAGAGTTACAGAAATTCATGCTCATGAAATTCTTTATGATTAAGGTTATGATCCCTTATGATTAGTATAAAATTCAGGGCAGTGGCCCTGGACTTGTACAGCAATAAACATGCAATTTCAAGTTTTATACAACCACTCAAACCCAATGTGCATCTTTGTTATTTCTGATCTCTTTCACTTCTTTGGAGACCTGCCCCAATTTCACTATTTACATTTTAAGTCAAATGTCCTGAATACAAAATGTATTTCTACCAATGAACTAACTTTATATCAAGTCCATAATATATCAGCAGGAATGCAACTGAACACCACATTTCTTAGTCACAATTCTCAGGGAACAATCGCTGTGATGAAAAGTTCTTCCATGGCCTTATTTCACCTCCTGTTTCAACCATTCAACTATATTTAGAGATCACCTATCTAACAAAAATCACATTAGATTGCTACTGAATTTTTTTAATTACATTTTATTTGAGGGGGCATACACCTGCCTTGGTACATGTGTGAATGAAAAAGGACAACCTTCATGAGTTGGTGCTCTCCTTCCACCATGTGGGCCATGCTTGGGATCATTCTAGGTCAGCAGACTTACTAATAAGTACCTTTACTTGCTGGAGTCACCTTGCCAGTTCTCATCAACCACTTTTAAAGATAAGTAATCTGTGACCCTTCATCATCTAGCCTCAATTCTCTCTAGCTTTGTCTGTCATCTATATTTAATGGCACATCAAGCTTCCTTAGGTTCCTAGCATATGAAATGATTTCTTTCAGCACTAACATTTTTTTAAAAACATAGTCTGGAACACAGACACCCTCTAGTCTTTATTTACCTAATCCATAACTTTTTTTTTGTTCTGAGGGTGTGTGGTTATGATGTTGAATCTTGCAAATGTATGTAACTACCAACATCAAATCAGAGATCTTCAAAATGAAGATAATTTCTTTTAAGATGATTAACTATTAATACAATAAGTTTGGGAGGGGGTGCTTTTTTATGCTTGGTAAAAAGAAATAAAGAAAGCCAGTGTTAAGTCTTAAGTCTTGGTAGACCAAAAAGGTACGGGTTTTACTTTGTGTGAAATTGAAACTGAACTTTGTATCAAATCTTCAAAGATAAGCAGAGATGCAAAACACCACTAGACCTTGACTGCCTTCTCTAACATGACAAATACCTCTAACAGAAACCACTTGGATCCCAACCAAGCAACATTCACTTTACAAGTCTTGACACAAAACACCCCAGGAAAGGGGGTTAATTAAGACTAGTCACCGCATAGGTCTTTATGGATATAAAGTAACAAAATAAGCTCTGTGGACAGTTACTGTGGTTTCACATGTGTGCTTGTTCTTAATGAGTTTTAAATCTGAAATATGAGGTATTTTCTAGTTGAATCACTTTCCCAGAAAATTGACTGAAAAACAAATTCAGTTATTATGTATCTGAAATTAAAGTTTTCTAGTGAAATAATACATTTGCAGAGAAGCAAAATTACATTATTAAATTATATAACGTTTGCTAAATGGACAGGATTAAGAAAAGCAAAATAAGCAATGGGGAATCTACCTACCATACACTGCAAAAAACTTATTCCTAAATTAGAATTCTTATAATTCCTTGTCATAGGTCCTGTACAGCATCCACCAGGGTTATACAAAATAGGGATATACACAGTTTAAAGAAAGATACTTTTGAAGAATATTTTGAACCCAAAGAAATCAGCCTGTCTCTGCCTCCTTGAGTACTGAGATTAAAGCATGTAGCACCACCTGGCCCAGAGCATGCATTTCTACTGCTTAGTTATAAGCAAATATAGTTATCCCAAACACAAAATAAAGCAGAGAATACAAGGCAGATCTCCATCTTGGTATGTAACAGACATATTGTTAAGAGCAACATGTTTGGAGTACAGGAGCAAAAGATACTAACTGTAGTGCATGGACAAAATTTTCAATTAAGGACACAACTTGAAGTGAACAATCTGATGCTTTTGGTTGAATAGTGGCAACACTATTTTGTTTTGCTTTGATTTTGTTTTTCGAGACAGGGTTTCTCTGTATAACAGCCCTGGCTGTCCTGGAATTAGCTCCTGTAGAGTAGACTGGGCTGGCCTCGAACTCACAGAGATTCACCCATCTCTAACTCCCAAGAGATGGTATAAAAGGCGTGAACCACCACAGCCCGGCACAACATACTATTTGAACAGAACTATGCTGGCTTCCTAGACCTCAATCAGAAAGGCTGAAAACAAAAGGGAGGGCAGAGCAGAATGCAACCAAACACAATATTATTTCCTTCTATACAACAGAAAATTATCAACGAAAATAAATCTTTACAACCTAATTTCCTAATAATAGAGTATCATGAGCCTTATCTTTAACAACAACAACAAAAACAGAAGCAAAAAGGTCTCTTTCCGTTGCCCAGGTTTGCTTCAAGTCATCTTTCTGCTTTGGACTCCTGAGTAACTACAGACACATGCTACCACTCCTGATGCAAACTATAGCATTATGTGTATTTACCAAGTAATCTCCTAATTTTTTCCGGTGTATGATCCTTGCCCAACTGGCAGAGAGTTAGTACACTTGGTCAAAACAGAACTATTCTTTTAACGAACAACTCAGTGGCATTATTTAAACCTGTAACGTCTAAATTGTATATTCTTGCAAAACAACTGAGAACAAAGGAAATAGTACAAAGATGAGGAAGAACATTCATTGACTTAGAAATCTACAGACACACACAAATCTCCCATCAATAATGCCTTAAAAACCATCTTTAAAGGCCATCTTTAAGGAAAATTGACTCTATGAAAAGGAAAGGTTTTCTAGATTATACATTTTTTTCATAACAGAACTCATCGTCTTCAAGGATAAACTTTGACCAAAAGTGAATTAAAAATACCACTGTTTGATAAACAATTAGCTTCACTGTAATTTTAACAAATAATGACTGATTTTCTAACTTTTAAAAAAGGCTATGACATAAATATAACATAAATCTAAATAATGAAAGTAATATATAAATACACATTGAACACTAAGATTCTACCTGTACAGGTTTTATATAAACTTCAAAATTAAGTGTATGAGATTATTATAACAAAATAACCTAAACAGCTACCAATAACTAGGCAAAGTAAAACACAGTATCTTTGATGTGGAATTAGAAATAAGAACAATGTCTTTGGAGTGTATTCAATGACACTTAAAGGTGTCTCTGACATCAGTGCTAAGGGAAATTAATTTCTTTTGTACAATGAACACACTGTGGTACATTTAGTAAAACCCATTGCCTATACCTACAATATCACTCACGGGGACATGTAATAAGTTATAGAGATAAAGGGACATTGGTATAAGACATGGATGGATATGTTTTCTTTATGTTGATATAGTGCTTTTGTATATTTGTGTGTGTGTAAGTATAAACAGTATGTCTCAATAAAGAAGAAAAGCTAAGAACATCTACAGAACTCTTTTGAAAACACTGTTTAAAAGCAAGGTCAAGAGAAACAAAGTACTGTACCTTAAGCGGTTGGTGTAGGTATCAACACAGGTCTTCATTTTGGCCAATAATGTACCAACGGAAGTCTGACACTCTGATTGTTCTTCTTCTTCTTCTTCACCATTCTCTGTAGAAAGAGGCAACAACAGTGGCACCATAGATGTGCAAGAAGCAATGGCCCGGAGCAATTCTAGCAGAGCCCGGTAGAGTGGCACATGTCTTGCCATGTCCAGAACTAAGGGAGAAAAGGGAGAAAGCAGACAGTGAGGACACATGCCATGTAAACAGCATCAACAGTAATACTGTCCTAACCCAGCAACACATGTTTATGAGACACTACTGCATTTCCAGAAAATGAGGACGATATGGAATGGGGAGGGGAGGCGACACCCAAGTATGGAGGTAATAATTACTATTTTGTTATGTTACATACACAATGATTAAGTAGTCCAGATAATACATTATAGCAGTACAGCATGAGAAAAATTACACTGTTAAAGTTGAAGCAATGAACTTATCTCATAGTATGTATGCAACTATCAAAAGACTACAACTGATTAAAAGTCTGTCAGCAAATGAACATTCTAGTTAGCAAAAAGCATTTAAAGTTACTATCTACAAGTCAAATGAATTTTCTTATCCTTCCATTTGTTTGTTTTGTTTTCAAGACAGGGTATCTTGTGTAGTCCTGGCTGTACTAGAACTAGCTCTGTAGATCAGGCTGGCCTTGAACTCACAGAGCTCTGCCTGCCTCTGTCTCCCAAGTGTTGGGATTAAAGATGTGTGCCAACACTGCCCAGAGAACTTTTATTTTTTCTTAAAATCTGAAGTACTAAGGAATAGAATTTTTTTACTTCTGAGATTTTTCTTAAGTTGGTAAATAGGAAGTGGACCAATCTTGCTAGAATTTACTTCTATGCCTCATATGAGGGTAACTTTTTTTCCAACACTTATTACTGAACAGCCATTCTATAAGCATTTTTAAAAAACATAACACTAGTCAAGCTGGGAACATAGCAGTGACAAAAGCAAACAAAAAGTTCCTAACTTCATAATTCTACACAAAGATAAACCAGTAACAGTATTTTGGGACACTGGTAAGTATTCTGATTATTATACAAAAAAATTAAGACACAATAGAAAACTGAGGGAATAGAAATTAGATGGGGGAATTTTTTCATAGTCTACATAGGGCATGAGCATGAGAAGATGAGGAATCATCATCTAGAATACTGGTCTTTCTCCAGCAATTACTGTAGTAAAAAAAAAGGTCTGGATCATGTCAGTTCTAACAGGATAATGATAGAGCAGGCTACTTAGAAAGAAGCTTAATTCTAATGGACAGTTCATTTCCAGGTCAGGTGCGACAGTTTCAATGTAACTGGCTCCATAAACTTGTTGCGAGTGGTACTATTAGAAAGTGTGGTTTTGTTGAAGTAGATGTGGCCTTCCTTGATGAAAGAAGTGTGTCAATGTGTGGGCAGGCTTTGCTGTTTCCTATTCTAAAGATTCACCCAGTGTCTCAGACCACTTTCTGTGGCCTGCAGGTCAAGATATCGGACTCTCAGCTCCCTCTTCAGCACCATGCCTGCCCACATGCACCATGATGACAAAGGACTAAACATCGTAAAATGTAAGCCACCCTAATTAAATGTTTCCCTTTATAAGTGTTGCTGTGGTTATGGTCTCTTCACAGTAATAGAAACTCTAACTAAGACACCAGGGAAATCTCTTTTCTAGGGCCACTGAGATAACTTAGTCAGTGGGAAAAGGCACTTGCTGATGATACATGCCTGATGATCCAAGTTTGGTATCTAGAGCTGGTGTGAAAGTGGAAGGAGAAAACTTACTCGATAAAAGTATATTTTGACCTCCATACACATGCTATGGTATGAACGCACACATGCATACACCACACACATAGGGGTGGGGGGAGGGGAAAGAGGTGGGAATAGAAAGAGAGAAAGGAACACAGAGAGACAGACAGAGAAAGAAAACAAAAATCAATGGATAATGGAGTGTAGTGGTATATACTAGCAATGGAGGTGGAAGCAGGAGGACCAAGTGTTCAAAGTCATCCTCAAGCTACAGGGAAGCTCAAGGTCAACTAGATTACAGGAGACACTACTGATTGGAGGAGGGAAAAGTCCTCATTTCACACTCGTCAATGATGAGAAGTAGGAAAATTTGATCACTGTTTGCTTACCTGAAAACTTGCCCTCTACCCCAAATATTTATGAAAAGACAAACATCCTGCTTTTCTGAAAACTGATTTTCTATTTGGAAATAGAAGTCATAGTTGATGTGGATGTGAATACTGGACAAAAGGCTTAACCAGGAATGGAAGTGGGGGAAATGAGAAAGGGATATATACTGGGTTAACAAAAACCAAAGATGTGAAAAAAGGCCTTATGGAAACACATTAATTTGCAAGTTAATTTTTTAAAAATATAATTAATACTAATAGTCCCAAAGGAGGAGTGTTTGAACACACAGAACTCTACATAGGCAAACAATGCTTCACCCAATAGACAGTGGCAAGCATAAAATACCTCTTTACAAGTTACTGGTCAGAGAGACCCCAGAGCCATGCTCTCCTCCACCCCCGCCACAACAAAGGCTATTTTCTTGATTGTCTATCATAGCTATTGCTGAAGACACAACAAAATTTGGTTGATTGATATACAGAAATCGATCTGAAAACAATCTGAAAATTTCCTTCTAGGTAGCTGGCCAAAAGCCACTATGCAGGCTACTAGGGAAGAAACTTCATCAATGCACTTAGCCAGCAGTTGACCCTGACATGCCAGGCAAGACATGACTATGGGTAAAATAAAGTGGCACGGTGGGATAAGCAACTGGTTTTTAATTAAACTTGAGGCCTTCTCCATAGAGGGAATTCATGTTGGGTATCATAAATTTGGTTAAAATCTAGGAGAGGGGAGGTCATGGGCCCTGGAGGGATGAAAAGGACCTATTACTGTCATTTTGCTAACTAGTCATATTATCAAACTATCTTATAAAAATTTATGTTTGTATCCATAGATTAGTGGTACTCTCAATCTCATCAGAGAAGTTTCTTTTTGTGGTGAGCAGAAGTCAATGTAAAGATTCATAAGTAGCTAAAGTACTGAGAATAAGTGACTGTTCTAAATGGTATATCTTTACTAACTCTCCCAGGGTTTAGGTAACATCATGAAAGAAGGAAAGGAAGAATATAAGAGCCACAAGAAGGGAGAACTATGAGCTGTCTTTTGAGATGACATGTTCATTGTACTCAGAAGTGCACAACAGATATGGTCACCTGCACAAGACAGTCACTTAACATTCCAAGATTTATATAGGAGAAGTCGATGAGACTTCTCCCCTATTGAGGAGCTAAAAGCAACTATTGGGTGTTAGGAAGAGGAACTGATTTTTCTTTGAGTGTATAACTATTACTTTTGTTGTATTTTCTATTCAAACCCATAATCCTAGTCTAATCCGGATAAAAAAATTCTCGAAATTGGAAAGTCTTGAAAGAAACAAACCAGTTCTCTTAAAGAGTGAGAGGATCACAATAAGCAAAATAATACTAAGACATCAGAAGGAAAAAGACACTGGAGAATGGGAGAAAATGGATAAAAGCAACAAGCTATTCCAGATTGGATACCAAGATAGAAATCAGTCATTGAGAAAAAGAAGAGAGAGAAGACAGAAGGTCCTATATATGTTAACCACGGAACTACTGTCAAATCTTTCATTTTGATAACTTGTTATAGCTATAAAAGATGGCATGGCGGGGCAGTGGTGGCACACGCCTTTAATCCCAGCACTTGGGAGGCAGAGGCAGGCAGATCTTTGTGAGTTCAAGGCCAGCCTGGTCTACAAAAGCTAGTTCCAGGACAGGCTCCAAAACTACAGAGAAACCCGGTCTTGAAAAACAAAACAAAACAAAACTGGCAGCATTCCTGGAGAAATGGTTGATGGGTAACTACACTGCTATACAACTATGCTATAAATCGAACATTACTGTAAAGTTAAAAACAAAATAAACCCTAGTTATATTAAATTCTAGCTTTTATCACAACTTAATTCTTAATTTTCAAAATCTCCTTCTAAATTTCATTATCTGTGACATGGATGTGCAGCTGAGTGTTAGGCTTAATAAAACCCCACGCAAGGAGCCTAGATCGTTGTGCACACTGTTGTCCCAAGAATGAAGACATTAAAGACGGGGGAACATGGGGCTATGACTAGCTAGCCTATAAAGTGAGATCCTATACAAAAATTAGGTTAAAATTCCTTAGCGAAAGATCAACCTCATGAATGGATTACATAAATATCTCTGCAATTTTTCTTTTATTAAAAAATTTATTTATTTACTTATTATGTATACAATATTCTGTCTGTGTGTATGCCTGCAGGCCAGAAGAGGACACCAGACCTCATTACAGATGGTTGTGAGCCACCATGTGGTTTCCGGGAATTGAACTCAGGACCTTTGGAAGAGCAGGAAATGCTCTTAACCACTGAGCCATCTCTCCAACCCCCCTCTGCAATTTTTCACTTGAGATGATTACCCATATTCTGTGGGGGTAATCTCCTTGGGGGAGACCCTCTTCTCTGTTTCCTGGACACAAACACAAATACGTCTTAGAAGAGCTCTAATTTATTTTTCAACTCTAAAAAAAAATTTCATGTTTCGAAACCAGAACTAAAAGGTGCATGCCCCACTAAGTGAATATCAAGTAACTTAATATGCTTAAGTTAATAATTAACTTAATAATTACTATATTATTTTCAGGAGGAAGGGGACATGACAATGTTGTTTTTTGTTTTTTTCCCCCCAAAATGAGAGTAATCTTGAGTAAGGAAAACCTTTTTTTTATATTTATTTATTTATTTATTTATTTATTATGTATACAATATTCTGTCTGTGTGTATGCCTGCAGGCCAGAAGAGGGCACCAGACCCCATTACAGATGGCTGTGAGCCACCATGTGGTTGCTGGGAATTGAACTCAGGACCTTTGGAAGAGCAGGCAATGCTCTTAACCTCTGAGCCATCTCTCCAGTCCCAAGACCTTTTGCTTGAAGACTTTTTACAAACATCACTAAAAGTGACACTGTCCTTCCATCTGGTGGCAAGTGAGGTAACTGCAGGCTAACTAAACGTTACCTGTTAAAATGATACTGGACAACAAATGCATTTTGGCATTGTATAAAATGCATAAGTTAACATGAACATATTCTTCGTACAAAACTCTCCTATCTACCTAAGAAATTTCTAGCAAAAATAACTGCTTTTTCTCTTCATTGTATTTTTGCTTGATTATTTGTTTTTTGAGGCAGGATTCTTTGTGTAGTTTTGACTGTTCTGGAACTAGTTCTGTAAAGTAGGCTGGCTTTGAAGTCATAGGGACCCGCCTGTTTCTGCCTCCTGAGTGTTGGAATTAAAGGTGTGCAACACCACCACCCAGCTCTTTATTAGATTTTTATCATATGGCACTCCAATTTACTATGTACAGTATCATAATGAGTATATACAATAGATGGTGTTAAAAATGAAGACAATTAACACTTCTCTTTTTAAAAAACATTTATTCATTTATGAGGTGAGAGGGAAAGCACATGCTTAGAGGTCAGAGAGCAACATACAGAAGTCAATTTTCTTTTTCCACCTGTAGGTCTGAGGGATTGCACTTGGCTCTTCCATTTTGGTAGCATGTGTCTTTACCTGCTGAACCATTTCACTGGCTGAGCAATTATCATTTGTATTTCCAAAATATGAATTACCTATACATGTTGGGATCTTTCAAATTCTTTTGTTTAGTCTAAAATTTGTAATTTAACTGCTGCAGACTAGGTTGGCCAAGTGTTATGAAACACTACAATTCTCCCAGAACAAATGCGGGTGCCAGGTATCCTCAGAGGCCAGAAAACGGTATCAGATCAATAGAGACTAGGATAACAGATGGTTCTGAATAGTCACAAGGGTGTTTGAAATCGAACCCAGGGCCTCTGCAAGAGCCAGTAGTGCTTTTTAACCATTAAGTCATTTCTCTAGCATCAAGTGCTCAATATTTTTAACATTTACAAATGAATGAGAACGTGTAATATTTGTTTTTATATACCTATCTTATTTAAGTTGTATCCTGGCTATTAGTGAGATTTCTAGATCATAGAGTAATTTCTTATGATTTTAAAAATAGATTTATCTTATTTTGCATGTATGCATGTATGTGCACCACATATATGCTTGACGCATTTAGAGGACCAAAGAGGGTGTCAGATACCCTAGAATTGGAGCTACAGGTTGCTGTGAGCCTCCATGTGGGTACTGGGAACCAAACCCGAGTGCCTTGCAGGAGCAATAAGTACTTTTTTAACTGCAGAGCCATCTCTCCCTTCATATATAAGAAGCCTACATAAAGAATGTACTGTACTATATATCAAACTAAGAGGCCTATGGACAGCAAAACAAACTACCAACAGGTCAAGAGGCAAATTACAGAAAGCAAAACTTCTGCAAACCATTTAATAACTATAATACGTAAACTCAATGCAAAAAAATCCAAGTAATCCAATTTTTTTTAAAAAAAAGACATTTTCTAAGAGTAGATATAAAAGGGCCAGTAAGAATATTTAAAACTCAGTAACAAACAATATTCTGAGCATAAATAAGTAACCTGAACATCATTAGAATACAAATAAAACCAGAATGAGTCACTGCCTCATTTCAGTGAGATTTGCTAAATATGGTGACTTATATTTGCTGTTGAGATGAACAGAAACCAAACACTTAGAAGTATGGTTCTACTTACATATGATAAAAATAAATTTTCCTTTACACCTACTACAGGGTTAGGAAAAAAAGAACCAACTTATTAAAGGGCTTTAGTATGAAAAAAAATTAATTCATTAAGCATTCCTGCTAAAGAAGATGAACTGTTCAGAATCTAACTGAACAAAACTAAATCTGCATAAATTTCCATGTTTTTTAAAACCCATTTACTAACCTTAAATTTCTTAAATAAAAGTTAAAATCTAAAATTAAATTGGGTAAACATTAGCATATCCAGTATTACTCTACAAGTAAAAAGATCTGAGAGATGATTAATGATTATAACACAAATTTAACAGTGGCTACCTCTAACACCAGGATCTCAGCTATCCTTCTGACACAATATTAATATAAAGAATATAAAGAACTGATAAAGTTAAACTCAAAATTCAAAGAATCCAGCCAACGAATGAACAACTGAACTGAATCAATACTAAAACAGAGGCATAAACGGTCAACAAATACACAATTTTCCCCATGATTAGCCATCAAGGAAGTAGAAATCAAAAGACTACAAAGGGAGATGGCTCAATGGATAAGGTCCCAAAAACCTACCCGAGCTGGATATTGGAGACCTACATGGGGGAAAGGACTGACTCCTGATCTGACTTTCAAAGGTGCACTTTGGCATGTATGTATATTTGTGCACACATGTACACACATATGACTTCATGCATCCACAAGTAAATTTTTTTTTCTTTTTTACGTAGAGGAAAAAAGACATGGAGATAGAAAAAGGGCTACTTGGGAAGAACTGGGAACAGTGTGAGTGAGACAGGAATGAGACGAGAGGGATGTAACAATATGAAAGCCCATGATAAACAATCCCTAAATCTGTTGCATATTGACAAAGTAAGTGCCTATGGTACATTTTATCTAATTTCAAAAAGTTCATCACCTTATTATAGCAAGTATCATGGACTTAAATTTTTCATTAACTTATTTTCAAGCTACTATTTTATGTAATTTTATACTTTCCTGAAAGTAGAGCAAAGAGAATCCTACCATATTCACACCAGCGTATCATAATAAAGATTTTAAGTCTATCATATAAGGTGACTTACCAGAGTCATTTCGCAGGTAGGAGGACATGGCGGGGATGAGGCAGGACTGACTGAGAAGCTCCAGAAGCACAGAAGGCAGAGCGCTACTGTTCTGTCCTCGGCTCTCATGAGATGTCTGGGCTTCGCCATTTATAGCACCACTCATGGGGTTTATATAACTTGCAAGAACCTAAATTGTTGAAAACATATTGGAGTTCAGTTTCATATACTTCAATGATGTTTTATAATTAGGTATTTAATCTTAGCACATTCAAGACATGTATTTTCTACTTAACCACATTCTGAATAGAAGACCCTATTTTTTCTAACTGAATATAGATTTTTTTTTTCTTCATACAATATATTCTGACTATGTACTTTTTATTTTGGGGACAGCTTTTCCCTATGTGGCCCTGGCAAACCTCAAAGTCGGGTTTTCTAACAGGATGCTGGTAGATTTTTCAGTGATCCCGAGTTGAGTTTAGGACTGCAAGCTTGAGGCATCAAACCTGGCTAAAAAGGGACATTTTAGTTTGACTCTTCAGAAGAGAAGGGACTGTTCTGAGTGTTGTTTACATGGCAGGTGAGTCATGTAACTACAAGAGAAGCAACCTGCCTAAGGACAAACACACACTGGTGCTAGTGACTACACGACTGCCAGCAACTCAAACATTACTGATCATTTCCTTTGGCTTTCTTTACCATTTTTAGAGGCTCAAGTAGTTCTTCTGGCCTCTACTTTGCTCTGTAGTTGAGACTGAACTTGACTTCTGACCTTCCTGCCTCCACCTCCTTAGGGCTGGGATTACAAGCATTAATTACCATTCTTTATATTTTAAGTAGTACTGAGGACCAAATCAAGAGGTTCCATGAATGCTAGGCAAACATTACACTGATTTACATTCACAGTCCTTATTGTTGAGTTTTGTTGAATGGATTCACTTTGAGAGTGCTGCAATCTTAGAATTCTGTACTATTATGAGCATACCATCCTCGAACTATGGAAAATAACACTTAAAAAACGACACCAATTTAGGCTACCAACTTCTTGTTTATATGATATAGATGTTCTCTCCAACCTTAAACTTGCTTCATTCTGGAAACAGTATAAAATAATTTAGAAAAAAGAATTGAAAGTGAGCTACGGGTACAATTCAGTGGTTAAGTATATAGTTATACTTATATATAGGTATAAAGTCTTGGGTTCAGTTCCAGCACAGAATGAAACATACATGCTAATTTTTTAACACAGGAGGGCAGAGACTCTATGATGAGACAAAGGGGTGACTAGCAGGCAGATGGCATCTTGAAGTCACAGGGTAATTGCATCCCCTCACGTTTCTTTCAGGTGAGAAGCTAATTAAGGGGGAAGGTATTTAGAATACAAGCATGGATGAAAGACCATTCTTTAACACATGGCTTTTATAATGTATTTAGAAAAGAAAACAAAAGTGAGCATGAAATAGATAAGAATGCTGGTGAACACCAGTCATGACTAAACTCCAAAGGTGAAGAAAAGGAAGATTTGCAGTTCAAGGACAGCCTAAACTACATGAAACATCTCAACAAAAGAAGAAAAAATGTACTTAAGAATGATTGATTAAGTCATCAATATTTAAAAAACGGACTCAATAAAAAATAATTTAATGATTATCATTGACAGTTTAACAAATTAGCAAACACACCTGCAGAAGACAAGTCACATGCTCCTCTTCTAGCCTCTGTTTGGTTAAGGCTTGTTCTACGTCCCATCCTGATGCTGTGGAACCTGTGCCAAAGCCAGTACCTTTGGCCCAATACAGCTGCTGTTCTTCTGTTGACGTGGGGTTATGAGAATTTGACACCTGTGGCTTTTAGGAAAAAAAATATTACTAGTGCTTGGTTTTACTTATCCTTAAAATCTTATCACTGTGACCGTTCAACAATTAACACAACATAAAAAAATCAATCGGGCCATTCATCAAAAAATTGAAAACTAATTACTGTAGTATTTCTAAGCATACACTCCAATGAAATGAAAATCAGTGCTAATAATAAGTATTTGTGCATACAAGTTCAGAGCATCACTGTTCACCACAATCTAAGACAGATTTCAAATGCCTCTACCAAGATATGAATATATGAACAAATGCAAAGGAATACTATTTAGCTGCAAAAATGAATAATAAAACATGCTATATAAATAAACTATGAAAATATTAAATGCTAAGGGAAAGAAGACCAAAGGGAGAGAGACAAATAGGATTAAAGAAAAGGCAAACAATGTAGGCTCAAAGAATCAACGACTCAAAACCAAATAGAAAACGAAGAAAGAGAAACAATTATAAGTAAGACCATTTTAGGATTCCAGTAAAAAACTACCTCAGGATTTTACCACAACACTAAAACGATGCTTTCAATCAAGAGAGGTAGACTACCTCTATTTCTAGAAGTAACACATCGCAATTGTTTTGTTGTTGAAATTCTGATGGAAACATGTAATAATAACTAAGGAGACCCAATATTAGAAAGAAAAAACAATTCCACATGCTCTCCTCCCTGAAGATGCTGTTTATAATTTATACATTTACTTATGCAAACGAACAGATGTGTGGCTACAATGTGACACATAGAAAGGAGACAAGAAAAGGTAAATTAGTGGTAATGAAAGATGATGGAATGTAAACAAGACACAGGAGTCATAAAAGAAGGAATAAAGTTAATGCTTTTTCTACTTCTAATCCAGTCATGAACTCCCCCCTCCCCCTTTCTCTCTCTCTCTCTCTCTCTCTCTCTCTCTCTCTCTGTGTGTGTCTGTGTCTGTGTCTGTGTGTATAGTGGTAGTGTTGGTAGGTAAGTGCATAAAAATGTGGTTGAGGGTAAAAGTGTTAAACACTAAACAAAGTTCCATGGCTCAGAATGGTCATTCTAACAGAATACAAGTTCCTAGAAGAGATGCACAGAGTTTGGTTTGGGCAAGTATTTGTCTGAATGGCTATATTAATCTAGCTGTATAATCTTATTTGTGAGTTCATTACAATAAACTGATTTTTATATTTAAAAAATCTGAATAAACAGAGAAAGATAGCTCAGTGGCTAAAGACATTTCTTGATAAGCCTGATAACCTGATTCTGACCTTAAACTATCAAATAATCTACACATACACGCATACACACAAAACATACACATACATACAAGATTACACATATAATTTTTTAAATTAAAAATTTTAAAAATAAATATCAAGTATTAGAAATGAGAATTGTTTAAGACAGAAAAATGACTAATTTAACAACAAACCTTAAACATGAGGGTTAATTCTTTATTATCATTTATGTGGGCTGCAAAGATATTAATTTAAATTAATCAGAGCACAATTCCTAAAAGCACTAACAATAAATATTCAAAGGTGATTCACAGAGGATTTATGTGCTTTTGTTGCTTTTAGGAGAGAGGAGAAAAAACAGTGAAAGAAGAGAAGGTGACTTCTGGAGCCAGCCAGGCAATTGCCAGCTAGCTAGACATAGATTAGGACATACAGAGGGAAAGAGAGGTAAAAAGCCCTGAAAAACTATTAGATATAAAGTATTTGTATAAATTGTTATAGATTTATAACAATTTTTAATTGTTTAGCCTTTCAATGGCTAATGAATAAAGCTATTTCAGCCAATGATTAGCAAAGTAAAGCCAGGTGAGAAATCTGAACAGAGATACAGAGAGAGAGTAGGTGAATTAAAAAGATACCATGTAACTCTCGAAGGAGAAAGACACTGAAACGCTGGAACCTTATTGGTAGGCCACAGTCTTGTGGTGATACATAGATTAACAGAAATGGGTTAATTTAAGATGTAAGAGTTAGTTAATAAGAAGCCCGAGCTAACAGGTCAAACAATATTGTAATTAATATAGTTTCTCTGTGACTGTTCGGGTTGGGGTGGCTGGGAACAAAAGAACAGTCTTTGTCTACAGAATGGTGCCCAACATGTTCATGTTACATCTGTCTATGTAAAGATGTGTTACATTTGTTTATGCTGCATTTGTTTAACAATGTAAGGATGTGTTGCTTTGCCTTCCTAAGGCACTTGATTAGTCTAATAGAAAGCTGAACAGCCAATAACTAGGAAGTACAGGAATAGGAGGGGCTGGCGGGCAGAAAGAATAGTAGGAGGAGGAATCTAGGCTTGACAGGAGAGAGAAGAGAGAATGAGGGAAGAAGAGAGGGAGACTCCTGGGGCCAGTCCAGCAGGCAGTTGTCAGTCAGCTAGATAGAGTAGGACATATAGAATGAAAGAAAGGTAAAGAGCCCTGAGGCAAAACATAGATGAAGAGAAACAGGTTAATTTAAGTTGTAAGAGCTAGTGAGACGAGCATAAGGTAAGGCCGAACATTCATAACTAAAAATAAGTCATGATTTGGGAGTTGGTTGGTGGCCAAAAAAAAAAAAAAAAAAAAAAAAAAAAACTGCTACAAACTACAATGTAAAAATCATCAAACCATGCAGAACAAGAATGAGGTCACAAGCTGGAGTGGTGGTGCATGTCTTTACACCCAGTAGAGACAGGTATATCTCTGAGTTTGAGACCAGTATGGTCTACAGAACAAGTTCTATGACATCCGGGTTTACATAGGGAAATCATGTCTCAGAAAATCAAAAGGGGAAAAAAAAAATTAGATCACAACATACAGGTACTGCCTTCATTTCAGCAGAATTCCACTACAGTACTAACCCTGTTTTACTTTAATAACAACAGATAATGTCTGTATTTTTAGAATTATCAGACACTTACACAGCTTTTAATGGGACGCCCATTCAAGCCCTTTGATCATTTTCCTATTGGATATCTGATGTTGCTCTTTTAAAGCTCTTTAAATGTAGATTTCAGTTCTTTACAGAACTATCCAAAAATAGCTTTTCATTGTGTGATTTGCGTTTGCACTGCAACAATGAAGGGGGATGGACAAGGAATATATGTCACAGCATGCTTGTGGAGGCAAATGTTAAGTTTTTGGAAATGGGTTTTCTCCTCCCACCATGTGGGACCTGGGGATAAAACATCAAGAAGGCAAATTCCTTTACCCCATAGTCATTCCATGAGGTCCTTTCCTTTGTTGAGTTTTTGTTTGTTATTGTTTTTAAAAGTTTGTTTATGGGTTGCTTTATGTTTTGCTTTGTTTTTAGAGATAGGATCTCAGGCTAGCCCAGGCTGGCCAGAACACAAAACAGTCCTCTCCCTCAGTCTCCTAAGCTCTGAATTATAGGCACCATGTTTGCCTTCTAATAGTGTTTTTGATTGAAAACCAAAATATTCTTAAATGGGAGAGAGACTAAAAAGAGGTAAGTCATTTCTTATTAACTGTAAGGTGATAAACACACTAATCACTGTGCTCTGATTATAACATAGTGAGTGTATGAACTGAAATATTACACTATACCAAAAATAAGAACATTCTGCACAAGAAGGTCAGAAGTGAACATAAATTCCTGAGTTGCTGTCCATTTCATTTAGAGACTTGGTCTCTCTATGAGTCTCTGAACACTACGATTAGTTACTGTCAACTCACCCAGCTTATCAAGTGGGTGCTAGGGATGCAATCTCAGGTCTTCAAGCTCACAAAGACTTTACTGCTTAAGGCACCTCCCCAACACTGGAAACAGTAACTGTACACTCATCTCATATGCTATTTTCTAAATCATTCCAGATTTTTATATACATACAACCAAATGAACTTGTGTATGTGTCTGTGGTTTGTTTTTTAAGGAGGGGGCTTACAATAGTATATAAATTACAACTCAAAAATATGAAAGAAAAATAACATTGAAATACCCAGATAAGTGGGAAAGCAGTAACTACCTATTTCTTTCTTTTTATTTTGGTTTTTCAAGACAAGGCTTCTCTGTGAATCTTGGCTGTCCTGGAACTCGTTCTGTGGACCAGGATGACCTTGAGCTCAAGAGATCTGCCTACCTCTGTCTGTTGGATTAAAGGCGTGCACCACCACTGCCTGGTTACTATCCACTTCTTAAACTGGTGGGTTAATCTGATTTTTCTGAGGAGGCTAGCAGGGAATCCCATAGTAATCATAAAATGACTCCAAGTTCTGAAGTGACACTTCATACTCTAAACAGTTAAGTTTAGTTTTTCCTAACATAAAGTAGCAGTTTTCAACCTGTAGGTCATGACCTCTGCAGGAGTCAAACACCCTTTCACAGGGGTCACCTAAAATCACAGGAAAAAGGAAGTATTTACATTACAATTAATAACAGCAGTAAGATTACAGATATGGAATAGTAACAAAACACATGAAGAGCTGTATTGAAGGGTGACAGTGTTAGGAAGGTTGAAAACAAATGACTAAAAGTATGGGAATGAAACCTACCTCAGTTTGGTTAAGGCTAGAGTTTGGAACTCGTGGAGCATGATGGCTCAGAGCTGAGAGACAGACAAGAATTAGGTGCAATGCTCCAATTTCCAGTGCCATCCGCCGCAGAAGCACACCATCATCGGTTGTCAAGGGAGTAGCACTAAACAAGCTGCGAAGAACGTGGAAAGGAAGAGTTGGAAGCACGTTGGCTGATGGAGATTGCAGAATGTGGCCTGTTAAAGAGAAGAGGACTAAAGTTAAAAACATTTGAAAATAATAAGTAGGTCAAAAATAATAATGACAAAGTAAGGTTTCACCACTAGATTGATTATAAAGCAGGCTGAATGTGAGATAGAATACAATTATCTTTATAACAGTATCAAGAACATCTCTATAAGACATAGTGCATACAAACTCTCTAAATTTACACATCTGAGTAACAGCTATCAATGACAACAGATACTATTAATTAGAATGCGAAATAAAATCTAACCATTAAAAAAGAAATTTCTACTTTATTTCTCTATGTAGCCCAGGCTAGTCTCCAACTCACAAAGAGTCAATCAACTCTTTCTCCCCATAGCTCCCCAATGCTGGGACTAAAAGTATGTACCAAAGAAATTTCTTACAACCATCAGAAAGTAACTGCCAGCCTTTAAAGTGGTTCTGAATGAACAAACGACAAACAAGTAAAAATACTTTAATTTGTACAATAGTTTTGTGCTGCTTTAATCAGAAAGAAGTAGTAAACACAAGCGATAAAGCACTATAGGCACAGTGTATGAATACTGGGGAAAAAGGGCCACAATCACATACTGCAACAATTATTCTTTGCACTTAATGTGTGCAATTTAAAGTGGCATAAAGTCTGTTTCCCCTTTGCTGTTTATGATCAGTGGTGGAACAGTCTTTGAAAGAACAATTAAGAGTAACCCAAATTAAAATCTACTTTCCTATATTACCTTAACTGTGATCAGCCAATCTTTCATTATTTTGATATCAAATATGAACAATCGTTATAGTTTTGTGTTTATTATAGCTTTATCATACAATACACAATTCTTTTAATTCTCTTCTCTGTGTTTAAAATACTGCTACAAATTTATGCCTTTTGTTTTTCATTTCCTTGTTTTGTTTCTATGGTGCTGAGGACTAGATTTGCTGCAAACACTAATCCAATACCTCACCAAATTAATTTTCTTGGGAGTGGGTGTTTTTCAGATGCCATTGCTCTGCTTAATAATGCTTAATAAATCATCATTGGTATTCAGAATAAAACCTATGCTTTTCCATAACTTGTTACCTAACTACTTTTCTTTCTTTTTTTAGTTTTTGTTTTTCGAGACAGGGTTTCTCTGTATAGCTTTGGAGTTTGTCCTGGAACTCACTAGGGAGCCAAGACTGGTCTCAAACTCAAAAGAGATCAGACTGACTCTGTCTTTAGAGTACTGGGATTAAAAGTGTGACCTATCACCGCCTAGCACAACTTTTTTTAAAGGACACACGTTCATAGTTTCTTCACACAGACTCTCACGTGGTTCAGGCTGTTACTGAACTCAGTACATAGCCAAGGGTAGTTTTGAAATACTGATCCTTCTACCATAGAACTCTTGAGGCTGGGATTGCAAGCAAGTGCCATCATTACTAAACTGTGCCTTTTATGCAGATTTTAATCGGCAAACTCTTCCCTTTCCATATACACTGTCATTCTGAAATCATCACCCCAAACTAAGTTTTGTTTATATTTTAGAGCACCAATAAAAACTGCTATACAACTTTTCACACTTATACTTTGTAAAGAAATAGACTCAACTCACATCTCTGAGGTGCCAGTAATACTCAGCTCAAATCCTTCTCTAATTTGTCTGAGTCAATATGCTCTCATACTTTCCACTACAATGACTAGAAGACAGTCCTACTTCCTGATCACATTACTCAGTGCATCTGCGAGTACTCAGAATACAATTTATAAAATGAACATGAAAAGTTTTTTTTAGGATTTATTATGTTTAATACTAGTAAACAATGTTATTATAAAATAAATAAATGGGTAAGGACAGACAATAATCTGAACAAATTTACCTAGTTATTTGTGTATGTGTTGAGAAATTTAATTAGTAACTCTAAACACTTACTGCCTTCTCCATCATCTGTAACTCCCAATACCAATCGAAGAAGGCACTGGGCATGTTTTCTCTCTTTCAGGAGCACTTCAGCATACCCCGGAAGACGAAGAAATAATCCAAAAGCAGCCAAAGAATGGGCAGGTATGGGAGAAGTGGCTTGCACTGCTGACTTGACAGGTGGAGGCTCAGCTGCAATAGTTTCTGGAGCTTCATAAACTAGTTCGCCTGATTGTTCTATGGTCACCCACTCAAACTGATCACTATCTTTTGGTTTTTCTTGAGTAGTAGATGCCACCACTGGAGCACTCACCTAAAGAAAAGAGAAACAGCTAGTTATTTCCACTTTTCAATACTGGGTTCAAACACAAGACTCAAATGACCTCTTAAACCTATAGGAACATAAAAACTTAAAGGATATATTCTGAAACAAGGTAACAAATACCAAGAAGAGTATGACATCATGAGCACAGCAGTATCTATCAAGTGCGTCTCTATTAGAACTGCATCTTCCTATTTATAATAGTGAAATAGCTACAGATTCTTCAAAATTATGTTAAAAATCTTGCACTTCAAACTGATTCACTCATTTCTAGTATTTTTTGTTAATGAATTTATTTGTTTAATTTTATATATAATTCTGGCTGGCCTGGAACTCAAGAGATCCACCTATCTCTACTTCCAGAGTGCTGGTATTAAAGCCACCAGATCCAGACCCTTTTAAAGAGTATATTTACATGTGTGACTGTCGGTGTGAATGAATTCTGTGCATATCAGTGCCCTTAGAAGCTACAAGAATATGCCATGTACCTTGAAGATGGAGTCATTTGTTGAGTCACCTAATATGGATGCCAGGAACTTAACAAATCCTCTGAAGACCAGTAAGTTCTATTAACTACTGAACCATCTTTCTAACACCAGTGCTAGCCTTTAAAAAAGTTCACCAAGACTCTTTTCTTTGTAACAAATAAAGATCACTACAAAAAGTAGCAATCCATCAAAATGCAGAGATGTGGAGCTCAATCACAAAGGATATACCTAGAATACGCACTCATACCTAACGCTCAGGAAACACTGTGGAAGAGTGGGAAGAACGATTACAAAAGCCAGAGTATTAGGGAGTTTGCTGTGAGATAGTGTCTCCTAGTAATGTCAGATGCAACAACCATAACACGTCTCCAATATGACTGCCCAAATTAAAGTTGAATAAAGACAACACCCACAGAAATGACAAAAATGGGCAGGGGAAGAAAGCCTATGAAGTCTCAACCTGACACACACACACACACACACAAAACTATAGTCAATAATATTAAGAGAGGAAGAAATAGTCTTCCCCAGGGAAGAGTACAACAATTGGTTATCTAACACTAAATGGTCAGCAATGAAAACAAGCAAACAACACTCTACAGACTGAGAAGCTATTATTTATGTATTCAAGAATATATATGCATGCACATAATAACAATGAATGAAAAAGGCCATGAATTTGGAACAGAGCAAGGGGGAGTATATAGGAGAGTTTGGGGGAAGAAAAAGGAAGGGGAAAGGATGAAATATATTACAATCTCAAAAACAAAACAAGCAAACAGTTCCTTGAAACCACAGTTACAGTGGTTAGCAATGATGACTTCCTAATTCTGTCATTCTTCTACATTATCTAGTGCTGGAATATTGGGAAAATAGTCCTTTCTTCCCAACTACTCATGGAGGATCATCAGTGTGTATTCTAATTTTATTTTATAAGTTACATTAGTCTACTATTTATTCTTATGACCTAGTGTAAACAGATTTGGTATCTAGATCTCCTTTCAAGCAGTCTTCTACATAATTTCAACACTTTGTGCATTACTCTTTGAGAATCTCCCCCACTTCCTAGTACAATATGACATTCCAAGCTTTCAGAACATTTCTTGGTCCAATCCTTGAACTTCATGGAGGCAAAATTTCTTATACCAGAGACCAATATTGTTAGGGGGAGTCGGATTCCAGGCACGATCTACAAATAAACCTAAGAAATCCATTTACACACAGGTTTGTATATATGAGTTTCCATAATGACATAATAGATATTCTTAGTTCTTTAAAACATAAGAGCCATAAAAGAAACAAGGAACTATTATAAAGTTGACCGTAGAGAAAAGACAACACAATGCAATATACATTTTAGAACTAGACCCAAGACCAGTAGTGCAATCCTTTAATCCTCAATGTCAGGGTGATTCCCAACCATAAAATTATTGTGTGGCTACTTTCTAACTGTAATTTTGCTATTATTATGATTCATAACGTAAGTATTTAATATACTTGATATCTGATGTGGGGTCATGACCCACAGGTTGAGAATCACTACCCTAGACCATCATTTCAAACCTTGCATAATGAAAAGTGGGTTTTGTTTCTTTCTTGAGAAAAGGTCTTGCTATCTGTAGCCAAAAATGACCTCAAACTGGTAATTCTGCCCAAGCCTTCCAAGTGCTGAAATTACAGGTGTATGCCAAGATACCCACCAGATTTTCCCCTTTGTCCATAAAGAACATTATAGAGACAACTGACAAAATTGTCCATTAATATAACAAGAACATGAGAAGCAGAAATACATGGATGACAGCAGCAAGAATGAACACTGACACGGGCTGAATTAATGATTTAAAACCATCTAAAGAGAAATGGCACCTAAGACAAAAGTAAAAGTTAAACAAGGCACAAATGAGTAGTATGCTATTATTTTACTATGTTGTTTATCATAGTAAACACAGCCAATATCAAATCTAAGCCACATATAGAAATGAGAGTGTGATGACCATAACATTAACATAAAGGGCATACTTTAATGGGGGTCTTTATTCCCAGCTGATCTTTAAACATTCTATATAAGCCCTCTGTGATTTATCTAGTGCTCAAAAACTATAAGGTCATGAACATTTCAATGTTGAGGTAACTAACTTAAAAATATACAACCACTATGCATACACAATGCACCATGGTAGGAAGCTTAGCTTACCTGCTGAATTACTTCTGGATAGAGCATGGGCAACCTTTCTGCAATAAGAGCCAATCCACCCATTCCTGCAAAAACCTGCAATGGTGACTGAATGGGACACGTTTCCAGCAAAGATTCATCTAGTACTCCATCCATACACTCATCACTTGGAGTAAGAGCCTCATCTTCTGGACAGCTACCAATTAACTCTCCATGATCTATATAACACATTACACAAAAACTTAGTATGTCAGAAAGAACCTGTGCACATATACAACATGCTTTCATTTATGCAAACATAAAAAGAAAGAACAGGAATGACGAGATGCTCAGTGGGTAGAAGCAGTATTTGCTGTGTAAGCCTGAGTTAAATGACAGGAATTCACAGTGGAAGGAGACATGGTTCCCAAAAGTTGAACTCTGACCACCACATTTGTGCTGTGGCACACACGTGTACACACACTCTGATAATAAGTAATCTTTGAAGGAAAAATAACATAAAAGAACAAAACCCATCAAGTTATAACCCCAATTTTTAATTTACATGGCTACAGCAATCTGTAATTGCAATTCCAGAGGAATGGACTCCTTTCTCTGATCTCCCTGGGTATTAGGCACACAGGCAGTGCATATACATATAGACTGACAAAAAATTCATACACATAAAGTGGGGGATGGAGAGATGGCTCAGAGGTTAAGAGCACTGGCTCCTCTTCCAGTGGTCCTGAGTTCAATTCCAAGCAACCATATGTTGGCTCTCAGCCATCTGTAATAAGATCTGGTTCTCTCTTCTGATGTGCTAGCATACATGCAGGCAAAATACTGCATACATGATAAATAAATAAATCTTTTAAAGAGATTTAAATTAAGAAGTTAAAGAAAATGCTGAGACAGCTAAGAAAGTTACAAATAATCCTGCTGAAGATTTGATAAAAGAAAATATACTAAGGTTTACTAAGTAATATAAATAGCCTGTAACTATTGTAACTAAAGAACTGAACTTTAATCACGAGAAAAATACAAAGTTTAAATGTGATCAAATGCTCACACTGTGAAATAAATTATTTACGGAGCATTTGGGCAGTGAAAAATTAGAATCAGCACTCATTAAAGAGTGCAGCTACATGTACTTTGTTCTATTCATCTATACAGAAGTAACATATTTAAAGCATGCACATGCAAAACTATTTAATGGACTCTACAGGTAAAACAGAATAAAATGCATGATCCCCTTTAAACACATAAAAAATCTTTATGAGCAACGAAAGCAGTTCAATATAAATGGCCAGTAAAGTATGAATTTACAAATTGGGGATATAACTTGACAATAAAATGGCAAAAATGTAATTCTCAAAAAAAAAGTTAGAAAAAAAACCTTATATACATGTCTGAAATAATGACCTAAGATGAATTAAGTTTCCAAATGAAACAGTTGTTTTCAATAATTTACAAATAAATCAAATCACCAACAAAAAGATCTGCTTTTCCTGGGATTAAAGGCATGTGCTACTACTGCCTGGCTGACTGTACATTTTGAGGAAGGGTTTCACTTTAAATCCTGGAGCTCGACCAGTTAGAGTAGGTGGGCTGGCTGGTGAATCTTAGGGGTATTCTTGTCCCTGCCTCCCAGCACTGGGATGACAAGCAGAAGCCACCACAGTCAACTTTTTTATGAGAATGCTGGAGATCAAACTTGGATCTTCATGACTGCACAGCAAGTCCTTTACTGACTGAGCCGTATTGCCACCACTGGACTGCAAGTTTTAAAGGAGTACCATGTACATACCTTTTTCAGGGTGTAGTCTTTTAAAGGAATCTGTTTTGGACAAACTTGGGTCTGTAATAACTTTTGATCCCAACTTAACAGTAAGGTCTATTGAACGGTAACCTTGAGGAAGTTTTCGGTCATAGAGAAGAGTTAAAAGCTGGGCAAGCGTCATTTCAGCTGGCAATGGCTGACCTAAAAATGATGTAACTAAGTTAAAACAAAATTCTAAGAGGAAAACATTTTTACTTGGCTTGACTTCCTTAATTAACTAATTATTTTACTAAATCATGGACAAAAGTTTGACAAATATACCAATTTCAAAAGTTTAAAATTACCAGAAAAGAAAAATCTATAGAATACCAAGGTCAAACCACAAGTGAAAGATCAGATATTCTAAAAGCTAACATCTGCAAATATATTCATAGGTGGCTTAGATAACGAATACTTTAAGATCATGTAACTGCAACTATTATCTCTAGCTAACAATAATATATTAAACATGGGCAAACAAGTTTATAACAAAATTTTATGTAGAAAGAGACATAGTAAATAACCCACCACTTGACCTCTGCTATGAACTTAGGGTGTGAAGTTAGGAAAGAACATCATTCAGTGTTAGCTGGCAATAAGAGTATGGCACAGACAAAAATGTATATTACATTAACAGAAAGTTAATGATCAAAGTATTGATCAAAAAATTTTATCTGGGAAGAATATGTTAATTACCAATGCCCTATGGTGGAATTCTCAGCTACAATTATACCTATAAAGTCTGTCTGTAGTAACTTCTTCATCTCACACTCTATGCTCATAGCAAAAGTAAGGAGATAAAGAGGGGGGGAATAACTTTGTGACACTGAAACAGACATTGAAAAGGCTACTCTTTGTGGGTTTGTTTTACCTAAAAGAAATCATGTAGAAAAATCCTCAATACTCATTTAAATCCCCCAAAGCAACAGACCAGAACATAATTTGTGCAGTTATAAGTCTCAGAATCTGCTCTGCTGTTTACTCGTCATAAACGTTACCTGCAAGGAGTCTGTGAAACAAGTGAAACACTGGGACAGTGATTATTTTGTTAGCGGTGTCTGCGCTTGAGGAAGTACTTCCTATTTTATCAGGAATTGCTCTTCCCCTCCTGGATGGTGGACGAGGTGGTGTAGCAGACACAGCACGTTTAGACTGCGATTTCAACCCTTAAACACAATAATTGGTTAGGTTTTTTTATTTTTTGTAGTTAGAATATATAGTATAAATTTCTAAAATGTTTTAATAAAAATAGGCATTCCTAACTAATACCAAATCATTAATCCAGATCTAACTCCCAATTCTATATGACCGGCATGACATGCTGTTATTTGGCATTTCATATAGAAATGCCAAGAAAATAATAATGATATAAGATGCTATCAACAATTAGATACAAATGGCAATTCAAGCAAAATAGTACTTTTGGAGTCCACATGTTGATTTTTATGATAGGGAAGGCAAATAAACCAGTATCATAATCAAGGAGCAGTCTAAGCTTATTCTCATGCTCTCTCTCTCTCTCTCTCTCTCTCTCTCTCTCCTCATCCCTCCCCTTCAGTTCACTTTACATTTTTTAACAGAGCCTTATTTGAACTAAAAGCATCTCAATTCCGTGAAAGACAGAACCCTGTGAAACTAAGTTACCCTTGATAATATTTGTTTTCCTAAACCCACTATTTATTTTTAAAAATATTTAAATCTTTAATGTTTAACTTTATGTAATAAAAACCAGTAAATTCTTTTTGGTTATAACATGTACCTAAATAAGGATGTTGCACAAAAGTTCTTACAGTAATGGACTTTCTCAGGTACCATTCATATGGCTGGTAAGCACAGCCTATCAAATTAAAATTCAGTATCTATGCTAGTCATACACATTCAGTTCCTGGTGGAGTATAGTAAGCAATCTTTAATCAATCAATGGTTAAGTAATTCTACAGACAATCAGAGACTTCTGGTACAAGATTTTAAAATATAGGGGCTGGAGAGATGGTTCAGTGGTTAAGAGCATTGCCTGCTCTTCCGAAGGTCCTGAGTTCAATTCCCAGCAACCACATGGTGGCTCACAACCATCTGAAATGAGATCTGATGCCCTCTTCTGGCCTGCAGGCAGACACACAGACAGAATATTGTATACATAATAAATAAATAAATAGATAAATAATTTAAAAAAAAGATTTTAAAATATAGTATTAAAACATAAGTCCAATTTCCCAAGAGTACATTTATTTTATCATATGTTTCTGTAAATACACAGTGCTGTATTACATTGGAATCCAAGGAAAATAAATAGAAAGCAGAAAGCATACCAGAAGCAACAACAACGCTGTAGTTATCCTGAAATCCATTTTCTGCCTTAACCTTTTCTTTCTCTTCATGGTTCTTCTTCTCTTTATCATCTTTTTGTTCACTAATTAGTTTAGCTGTGATACTTGGAGTATCTGTAAGAAAATACTGTCTAAAATACAGTGCTTTTCCAAATTATCCAGAAGAAAGCAACAGTATTAGTGTTTAATAATAAGTTGCCATTTCCAACTTAAAAAAACAAAAACAAACAAACGAGGTTTAAAATGCAGAGATTATAGCATACTAAGATTCTATTGTATTCTTTGTGTAGCTGCAGGGAAGAACCGCAATTCTATGCAAACAACTGCGCTAGTGATATGGAAGGTGAACTAGAAAACAGTCTTTTCTTGCTGTGACAGAGGGCCTCACTCTGATGATAACCCTAAGCTCTAGTTACCCTCCTGATCCAGCCTCCAGAAACATTTTTAACCCCCATAACTGTCATGGAAGAGAAATCTTTTACTTTACTTTATAATAGTGAATAGTTTCACCCACATGGTTTGACTTATTATCTGCAAAACTTAATAACTATTATATTCTTTTTCTATAAACATGAAATTCTTTATGAATTTGCACGCCATCCTTGTGCAGGGGCGCTGTTTATCTCTGTATTGTTCTAATTTTAGTACACGTGCTCCCAAGTCAGCACCTTCCCAGTCTTTTCAAGCTGTCTTTTACTGTGAACTTTAGATTTTCATGTGATAAATGGAAAGTTCCCAACTTTTTCTTAAACAATTCCCTGGAAAATATTGGTCTCCCTCTTAAGTACATACATAGGAACATAACTACTTTTAGGTCATAACACATACACATTACCAGCTTACTTTAAAATCCAATACACATAATCATAATCAGCTTTAGACTAGGCAAAATGGGTCATTCTCACAAGCACATCACTAGAGAAAATTACAGTTCTTATTCACAGAAAATAAACATAATAAATACTTCTAAGAGGCAACAAACCCTAATTATTCAAAGTTGATGTTCACAGTGCTATATAAAGCAGCTATTTCCAGCTGGGCTTAGTAGTGCACACCTTTAATCCTAGCACTTGGGAGGCAGAGACAGGAGGATCTCTGTGAGTTTGTGGCCAGTCTGATCTACAGAGTGAGTTCCAGGACAGCCAGGGCTGTTACAAAGAAAAACCCTGACTCCAAGAAGAAAACAACAAGAAAGCAGCTTTTCCCTTAAGACACTGCAGCACTGCCAACAGGCACTTAGGGGAGAATGGTAACTCTGCTTTCTTCAGTGACATTTACAAACAATGAGGTAACTAGGTAATTCTACTCCTTTTATTTTCATTTTTGGTAATTTGTTGATTTTACCTCTAGATTTAGAAAATACTTATTAATTTGAAAACTGTCATTCATATGGTTATATGTGGAAAAAACCCATCAATGATTTCCAGAGAACTGTTTGTGCTTCTAGCTCTTGTCCCGTTATCAGAAGACATAGCTAAGACTATTATTGCCTGAAGGTAATACTCATTATTGCTTATTTAATTTGTATTGTTTCCTGTTTTCAAGTTATGAAGATATTTAGACTTTTTTGGTTGTGAAACAGTTTCTGAGTGAGTGGAAACAATACAGTTATAAGGGATTGAAGAGATGGCTCACTGGCTAAGAGCATGTGCATTTTGCAGAGGACTCAGTCATCAGCACCTACACGGTGTCTTACAAATGCCTCTAACTCCAGTTCCAGAGATCTGATGCACTCACACTCTTCTCACCTTGCAGGCACTGCATGTATGTGGTACAGACATACATATGCAAGGAAAACAACCATAAACATAAAATAAGTCTTATTCTTTTAGATCAAATGCATTAAACAGGGTTAACAAAAAACTAAAATTTAACTTACCTGAAACTCTATCAAGAACATCTGATAATGTTGTTGAGACTGGCAAATGAAGAGTACGAAACTTATGACCTGCCCCATACATTGGGTGTTGGATGACATGGCTGGTTGCATTAATTCTCCCTTTGTACAGCTGGGGAAAAAATTAAGAAGTTGAGTGTAAAACAACTCAGACCATTGCAAAAAAATTTCAAAGACATATATAAAAAAAAAGTTCAATAAAGCATACAAAGTAATGTGTATATTTTATGTATTTCTGTCATGTTTTCCATAGGAATTGCTCATCAACTTTTTAGATTGGTATTACATATTCTGTGTGTCCTCAAAACAAATTGCACAATTCAAAAAACAGTATAATTGTTATACTAATAAAAGGGATATGGCAAATTGTCCTTTAGGACACTTAGGTTCTGTCACTGAACACAAAATGTTCTTGTTTCAGTTTGCTACATTACTAAAGAGAAGTGTGGCTGGTGTGAAGGTCCAAAAATGTGAGCCTATTCCACCCTGTCTGAAGGTCAGAGTTTGAGCTTATTTTTATTCTTTCAAAGTTGTTGACCTAAGCTGTGGTCACTTAGTATTATGGACATCAAGATGTACCATAGAAGTAGATCTATTGCACTCTGACCAAGGTCAGATAATTCAAGCATAATTCTGCTCCTTCCTTTGAAATAGGAGGTTTGACATAGCGAGTGGCTGCCTTCAGAATACTTGGTCCAGGTGGGCTCACTACCTCAAACATCAAATACTTTTACTCAGGAATTAATGGCTTAATGTCTCACATATTGGAGCAAGTAACTGTTCTAGTTGTCCTTTGTATCATGTTAAAGCAGTCTTTTGCCTTCTTTCCCCCTTTTGTATTGGAGTATAAAAGTGTATGAAAATAAATGCAGGGTGAGGTAGGGAGAGAATTGAGCATTCAGCATTTACTGAATTGCCCTCCTGTTACTATCCTGTGTCTCTGTGTTTCTTTCTTATCTCTGTTCCTCCTGCTTAACATTTCTAATACTCACGCCTACACTGGAACATACGAACCTGCTGTGGCTAGGATCGTGACAAAAAGGTGGCTCCTGACAGGTTGGAGACATGGCTCCACAGATAAGAGGCCTTGTTCTGACAGAGGACTGGGTTTGATTCCTAGCACATACATTCAGCTAACATAACTATAGTTCTAGGGATCCAACATCCTCTTCTCACCTCCTTGGGTATCAGACAAACACATACATTCGAGCAAGATACTCATACACAGAAAGTAAAGAAAAAAAAAGAGAGAGAAGAGAACTCACTGCAAGTTCTCCTAAAAAGTATGCAAGTTATACAGACATGCAGATAATCATTAAGATGACTCACTGGACATGGCGACTGAAGAAACATTGTCACTTTCTCATCCTCCAGCATCAACTGTAAGAACAGTCTTCGTACAAACCCTGAAATATTACCAGAGGTTGGGAGGCTACCCCTTTGAGGAGCTGTCTGAAACAGTTCACAGAGAACCTGGAGAGGCAAGAAATTATTCAAAAGTTAAGTGGAAGATTTGGAGGTTTTTATTTTGAAAAAATAAACAAAAAATTAAGAATGTGAACTAACAAAAGGCTTTTTGTTTTGCCTCCCTAGTCCTGGTTGTCTTGGAACTCACTCTGTAGACAAGGCAGGCCTCCAATTCACAGAGATCTGCCTGCTTCTGCCTCTGAGTGCTGAGATTAAAGAGGCATGCCACTAACGTTCAGTTAACAAAAGTATGTTAATGCAACAAGTCTCAAAATAAATTCTTTTTTAATCTTAAAATATGGAAATAGTCTTTATGCTAAAGTGTTTATACACAATATTATCTGTGTTGAAAATTAACTGATACAGGTATTATTATCCCTGAGATATATACATATATATATAAAACAACATGTCCAAAGTCACAAAAGCCACAGAGCTGCAGAACTTAGCAACAAAACAAAACAAGGCTCCAGCAAATATTCTTAAACAATTCTAGCTTGCAAACTTGTTGGCCAGGCAGACTAACTCCAATAAACTGTAATGTACATAGCCTCTCTCCTGAAACCTACTCAATAATGTCTGTGTGAGAGGCAAACCAACAGTGATGACAGGATTCTGGTAATACCTAACAGTCAATCAAGTTCCATCAGCAAAACTACATTCTAGGCTAGTTCTTTAACTAGGGAGTTTGACTAGACTGTAGTCAGAATGGTCATAAATTTAGCGTCACCTCATCCTAAAATGTGATGGACTTTGAAGACCATATATTTTAAGGAGAGGGAACAGACACCGAGACTTCAATTGTGCTTGGATTCTGACACTTGCCTGTACTTAATCCCAAGTTTTATTATGATGCAGCCATCACTTAACTATTTCCAAAAATGTTATACTTTCACCTAAGGCCCCAGATAAACTCTAAGATGGGCTTTGTTCTCATACCTGTGCCATCAGCTTTTGATTATTAGGGTGACATGAAATACATTGCAGAAAGAAGGCAACAGTTGCATTCTCAATGGCTGTCCGTTGCTGAGTAGTCAGTCCTGTTGTAGCAGCTGAAGAATGAGAAGCTGCTCTTGTGCTGCTCTGTTGTGCCCCTAAATTATGTCCTCCAGCAGCGGACCCAGAGTGACACAATAAAAACAAAAGTGCTGTCCATAGTGGATTAACTTCAGAACCACCAAGCCAATCTTTCATAATATGGCTATTGCCAACTTCAGTCAAAAACCTAAGAATAGGAGCAACTAGGTCTGCTGTAATAGGCATCTTATTACAATGTTGTGGAACATGATGCCGCCTAAGTTTGTCCTGGGAATTATCTATTGACTGAGCAATGCTTTCTGAGTAGGAAATGTGGCTAAAACAAAAACTAGCCAGACTCCTCACAAGAAGG